CCATGCTCAATCATACTATATTCTCCTACTAAACTTCTTAACTTAATTCATTCAATTTCTCATACAATACAAGGAATTTCAATAGTAAGATTATTCAGGGGTTTATTAGAATTAAAAACAAATGGGAATTTCCATTAAGAAGGTGGATGTCATATAGTTCGTCACTTTTCAAGAAATTGTTCCCTTATCTTCTAATTCGAATTGATTTTTGGCTAAAACATAAACGTTTTAGGCATATTTCTAAACTTTTTAATACTTCAAGAATCAACTCAATCAGACTTCTATAACCTCAGTTATGACTGATTTAGTGAAGCATGTATAGTATAAGTCTTAAAAAGCCAAATCCGAATTCTATTCATTTTAACCATGTCACCTTCATTGGCACATTCATATCATTTGCCATATCATTCTAAGTATGAAAGGCCATAAAAACCTCATTTTTAACAGAACCAAAAAGTGCCAAAACATCGTTCAACTACAATTCTCTTAATTGGCATAATCATCCTCCATTTGCACACATACACCAATCAACACACCCATTTAAACAATCCATAACCAAAACATAGCCTCACACTGATATTAACATAAATAAATGTAAGTTTCATAAACCCTAGGTGTTATCAATTGTAGTCATAAGGGAGATTTTTTTTCCTTACCTTAGTATTCAAAGCACAAGGACACTCCTCCTTAGCTCCAAAGGTTCACCCTTTCTACCTTACACACATAACCACTTATGAATTTCTCTTTTAACTAAAAGATCAGAACAACTAGGGTTTTGAAACTCACCTTAAACCCTGAAATTGAAGTTCTTTAAGTGTGAATGTGATCTCCTTTGAAAATCAACTTGAAATCCTATGAAAATTTGAAAATAAAATGCTTGAATTAGTGGCTTTTATGGTGGATTTGATAGATGAAGAAGAAGATGATGCATTTGGGGTGTAAAAGGCCGACTCCTTTCTCTTAAAACCTTGTAAATATTTATTCCATTGTTACTCTATTATGATTGGTCAATAAAAGTTAGATATAAGGGTCATTTGGCATAAATTTTTCATATAAGGGCATTTTGGTTATTTCCACCACAACATAAAGATTAGCACTCATTAATGCCATTTGACTTCTTTAAAACACTTAACAATTAAGCAATCCCATTAGGTAAATGACTAGTTTACCCTTGGTGCACTTTTATGGATACTTAAATCATATGGATTTGTATGAAAAGACCATTATACCCTTGGTTACCGTTTACGCCATTTAACCTTATCAATCAACTTTATGACTATTCTACCCTCATTTCTCTTCAATGACATCACCCCTTACACTTTATAATGGCCATATCTCGAAATACATGTAAATTGACCATTTTACCCTTCCATTCAAAAAAAAGAAAATTACTTGAAAAGGTAAATTTCATACCTTAGGGCATCGGAATAATAACGCAGGGTTTACATCACCTCTGAA